CCCTTTTCTATCAGCTTCCACAATGATCCTGTTTTTGGACAACTGCTCTTGAATGAGAATGACTTTCTCTACACCTTTAACAATGAAGTAGCCACCTATAAGCAGAAAAGAAAGGATGTACTTCCTCCTTCAAAATTTTATGAACATGTAATTTTGTTTTCTAAATTATTTCTAAGTGATTTCTTATTTAAAGAAAATTACATACGAGGAAAAAACATGGGAACTATTATTCACCTTTCACCCAAGTGAGCCATCTTCTAAGTGAGTGATAAAGAAATTTCATTAGAATTGGTAGGAATCTCACCTTTGAGATTTACCTGGGAAATATCCATATCGCCTGAAGTGCTACATTTTGTGACTGCTTCAAAGCCCATTACAATTCAACCAACTACAAAACATTAGTCTGTCTGCACCTTCTGGCCCCTGACAGACATTAAAACAATGATGCAATTGGGAATGGAGCAATTTTACTTCCTATCTAAAACATCACACTTCCTACCTGCCATACCACAAATGGATGGCAGATGGCACAAGGTTTAGGACAGGGCATAAAATTCCTTGGATCCCAATCAGGCTACTGTGGTTCTGCTCCTATCTTAAGTCTGCATATCAGGTAGGGGGTGGCTCCGTCCTGGACTCAGGGCTGCCGACAGCCCCTCCAGCAGATTCAAGACCACAGGCAGCCCTGAGGCCTGTTCAAGACCGTGGGCGATCTGGGGCCAAGTCTAACAATCAGCTGACTGTCAGACCCAGTTGCAGGGCCAGTTTGAGACCCCACGTTATCCAGGACCAGGTCCAACCACCAGCAGACCTTAAACCGGTCCTGGGACAGCCCCAGGATCACCCAGCTGCATGTACTGTTTTTAGACATCCTGAGGCATCTAAAAATGATGCAGTTAGCCTGGCTCCCTGCAACCTGACATTTTAAAATTCTCTGCAAGGGCTCAGGGCAAGACAGGAAAGACTGCTGGGCTCAAGGGTTCCCAGGTTCCCAGTAGAGAGAGACCCTTGGCTTCCCCAGCAACCCAAATACGCACTGGGGCCAGGACTGTCCCAGTCCATGTGCCGACCCCCATCCTAATGTCAATGCTGACAACCAAGTGATTGTCAGTTTGGCAGACAGGCGGCTGGTGAGCAGTGCACCCTGGGATGCTAGAGGACCCAGCAAAGACCTATCACCCAGTGTGTGGCATGCCACATGTTTGAAATGAAACTTGATAGAAACCAGCTATAAAATAGTTCCACATTTTTCAGGCAACATCTTAGTGGCAGGTTGACCATTTTTAATGTGTGATAATTACTTAATAAGAGAAGCATACCATTTATTGTGCAATTAACCAGTTAATTGCACAATAAATGTAATGTGCATCGGGGGGCTTTAGGCACAGTACCACAGGACGCCAATAGAGAACTCAAAGGCAGATAGAATCATAGAAACAATGAGTGGGAAGGGACCTAGACAGATCATTGAGTCCGACCCCCTGCCATGGGCAGGAAGGAGCACTGGGGGTGGCAGGGGTCATAAGACCCAAGTCAGATGCCTATCCAGTCTCCTCTTGAAGATCTCCAGGGAAGATGAGAGCACCACCTCTCTGGGCAGCCTATTCCAGGCTCTGGCCACCCTTACAGTGAAAAGATAGGAAACCATTACTAAAAATATAATTAAATCAAAATGGTATTACTAAATTGTTGGCATTGCAAACTAAGCTGAAGATATCATTTGCTAAAGGAACGTATGATTAAAACATCTTGATTAAAAAGAACTGATCAGTTGAGATGCTTGGTCCTTCACCATAGTGGGCTCATGTTAAGACACAACTAGGCAAAGCAGTGCATCTACACATTCCCTTTCTCCAAGGCAAAGGGAAGTGGTTAGGATATCGACAAATGTACTTTTGGAACAGTTTTAAAGAAGGGGGGCTGCTGATTCAGAATTTAACAGCAGCTGTGCTCTCTCAGTTGCACAAGCTGGAACCAACATAAATGTAGCAAAATTACTTGAACTTGAACCCTGGAGGAAGCAGAGTTAAAGCTAGAGCTTCTTTGCTACATTTATATCATTCCCAGCTTACGCACACACAAATGTTTGAATGTCACAGCAGCTGCACAGTCCAGACAGCACACCCTATGAAACTGCTCCAAATGTACAATTTGTCTATATCCACATCTCCTTGTGGTGGGGGAAAATCAGACTACATACAAATGGATGGGATATTTATTAGGCCTGTGCGAATTGGGAAGTATTCAGATTCAGCTGGTTCGGAGGGCAATGATTCAATTCAGAGATTCAGGTCACTGTCCCAAATCGATTTGGCCAAATTGGCTTCAAAAATTCGGTGCTGATTTGGAGAGATTTAGTGATTTGGCCATAGACTATAATGGGGAATCACTGAAATACCTATAACTTTGTCATTTTTTGGCATATTTGGATGAAAACAGCAGGGATGGTAGGCCCTTCTGAGGGCATGAGGTCTGCCAAGTTTCAAGGAGATAGGTACAGGGGTTTCTGTGACAGAGCACCTCAAGGTTCTGAAAGCAAAACTTGCGTTGTGTGTGTGTTAAGGGGTATAGGTTGTAGCCGTGTTGGTCTAAGGACATAGGCAGACAAGGTGCTTAGGATCAATCTGATATCTTTAATTAGACCAGCTAACTAGCTGGAGAAACATATCTTAGCAAGCTTTCAGGTTTAAAAACCTTTTGCCAGGCTGAGGAAGCATCTGCAGTTGGTGTGTGCGCTCTTCCTGGATGGAATGAATAGTAAAGAAGCCAGAGGCTGGTATGCATGCAAGAAAACAAGTCAGTGAAAATGTAAATCGAGGGTCAGGGGGTGAGAAACAGGCTGGGAGGAGGGGGGGCAAATGGGATGTAGCAGGTAAAAGTGGAGAGGTACCTGGGGAGTCAGATGTTAGGCAGGGGATACTATGTCATAAATCCAATGTCTATACTGCGTTCATGAGCTTTGGCACGTAGGAGGTGAGTGAAGTGAAGTATGTGGTTTCTATGTCCCTCCCACAGAGCACTGCGATTGGAAGGGAACTCAGAGAAAGATCACAGTCACTGGCCAGCTACAGATGTCAGTCTTTCCCCCCCTGTTCTCCCTTCCTCTTTTCAGTTTCTGTTTTCCCACAAGACTGCCTTTCAAAATCGCCGAACCGATTCGGATGCTTCAAATCGATTTGGAGGTTTTTATGGGACTCCCAATTCGATTCAGATTAGATGATTTGGCCTCCGAAATCGGGCTGAATCTTCTCCGAATCGAATTGGTGACCAAAGCTTTGCACACCCCTAATAATTATCCTATTAAACCCTATTTTTATAATACGCCTCTGAAAGAGCAGAACAAATGCATACCACCTGCGCAACACTGGAAAAAATAAAATAGTCACAGAAATATTAAAGGGGATGGGGAAAAAAAAAAAACAATGGAAGATAGTACCTGGATCTAAAGGGCACTCATTAAGTTTGGCAAACTCTGCTGGTGTTTTCCCAGTAAGAACACAATTGGAACTGCGAAGCATTATGGGCATTCTGAAAGAAAAAAACAAAAACAAAAACCAAAACCCAGTTACTTTTGTACTTTGAGCAAGAAAGGAATGACAATGTGAATAATAAAGGATCTTACAATTCAAACAAAAAAAAAAAAAGTGTGGCAACTGAACTGAAGTGTTGTATACTAAGAACTATGTTCTTTAAATGTTCACATCAGGGCAAGCAAAAGCAAGGAAAGCAAATTAAAAAACTTTTAATCCCATATTATAATCCCATAAAACTCTATGTAACATTAAAATTCTGCAGAAGTGCATAAGAAAAAAATTAGGCTCTGTGATGTGATCAAAGGTATGGTTGCAGCACGTGCCAACATAGTCAAACTAGTGTTTATCTAAATTAGCTATGGTAGCAACAACAGGGAAGATGCAATGGCAGGCAAGTCGAAATACCCCAGGTCTCAAACGAGCTTAGCGAGGCTCCGCTGAAGCCCATTTCACTGCAGCTTTACTGTTATTGGCACCCAGGGCTCACTGTATTAGTTTAATCAAGACACACCTTCCTCTGCTGCAAAGGTACCTCCTGACTACAGTCTAGATACAGCCTTGTTGCTATAACATACAGTCTAAAGAATATAAGACATTATGTAGCTTTTATTAAGCTATTTTACTTTCACTAGTTTAAGGCAAAGTGTTAAAGCTAGGTTTTATTTTTTAGGTTAATGAGCTACCTAGGACCCTTCTTGTGAAGCCAGGCATGTGCTTGTTCAAGAGCTAAATCTTCAGGTGATGAAAAGTGCTTCTGGTTTTCTCTGATTAAAATATGCAAATTCTCTGACTAAAACCCCAAAATCTGTGACTAAAATGAAAGGACACACACACCCACCAGTTGAACACATTTTTTATTGAAATATTTACAGTTTTAAAGGAATTTGGAAGCCTACCAGTGCCTCAATCATTACAATAAAATACATTCTAAATACCTATATATTTTGGCATTTGATTTTGGGTTTTGCATAATGGAAAAATCAAAGCTCCTGCTGAAACCACTCTCTACACCCCAGGGAAACATGTGCAGAAAAATTCAAAGTTATGCAAAATTATTATTATTTTTACAAATTAAACTAAATATAACACTAGCTATCTGAAACTTCTTTAGAAATATATGAAGGTACTTGGTATGGTTGGAGGGTGGGTGTCAGGGGGGGGTTGTGACTAGGTGTGGGGCTTGGAGGGGTGTAGGGAGGTTATGCAGTGCGTGTGTGCACTGGGTTTGTGCGGGGGTTGTGAAGGGACGGGAGCTGTGGTGGGTGGGGTGTGTTGGTATGGGACTATGTGGCGCTTGTGGTGCACAGCCCCCACCACTGGTAACTCAGCAGCAGCAGGCCCTCAGGGTGCTCATGACTGCAACAGGCGGAGCCCCCTGAGGTGCGCGCCTCTGGTCAAGTCCCAGGACCCACTGGTACACTACTTCACACCAGACCAGGCTGGCTCCATGCCAGCATGTGCTGACTGCAGCACCGCAGGCAGGACCCACACAACACTGGGCCAGGAAGGCTCTGTGCCTCCATGGGCAGCTTCCTGCTGGAGTGCTGGAAGCCCCACATGGAGGCAAAGAGCCCACCCAGCCTGATGGTGCATGGCTCCCAGTCCATGCAACATCGGGCCAGACCAGCTGGCTCCATACCTCCACGTGGGGCTTTCAGCACTCCAGCAGGAAGATGCACATGGAGGCAAGCAGAAGCCCACCTGACAACAATGGTGCATGACTCTGTGCCTCTATGTGCAGCTGCCTGCCCGGCCTGATGTTGCGTGGCTCCTGGTCCATGCGCCATTGGGCCGGCATGGGCCTCCACGTGGAGCTTCCCATGGACGCCTCCCTGCCCCTTCCACCCCCACCCATACATCCCCGCCATGCCCCACTGACTCTTCCCACATCCCCCAACCCTCTCCCCAGCCCTGCCAGTGCCCCCCCAATCCCCAATCCACAGTCCCCAGTGCCCCTCCAGCAAGCCCCATTTACTTCAAAGGCTCCAAAAGGGAAAGTGAGCCTAAGCCAAGCCCTGGCTGATAGTCTCAGGCCACACTCCTTCCCCCTCATGACAGGGCTCAGGGTTTGCTGCCCTTTTTGCAAGAAGCTCTTGTGGGCTGAAACTCTGTCAGCCTGCAGACAGCTCTTTGCAAAAGTGAAAAATCCATGTTTCTCTGTTAAAATGAAAAATCCACATTTTTTCTGCTTTTCCACAGTAAATGGAAAACCTAGATCCCCTGGTGATGAAGTACCAATATTTTGTTAAGCTTTATCAGGCTTCCAAAATATTGTTCCAACCTTAAAATGGCTTTAAATTTTTTTCCCCATTGAGAACAATCTGAAAGTGTAGGGCAATTTACTTCAAAAAGAAAAAGAATTTGTATTCTGGATTGATAACAGACACTAAGAACGGGCCTAAAATATCCATTGCTCTTAATTTTGCCTGCAAACAAGACGAACAAATTCACTAGGAGTGAAATTGAAAATGATCTGCACGAGGCCTATGATTCAGCTCAATCCTCAAAATAGCACCTATATGAAACTTACATTGTGCATAAAGTTTATCCTGGCCCCTCATGGTGGGATGAATTTCATCATCACATATTTATTTAAAAGCAATACTAGACAACTATGGACTTAAACAGGTTGCATTCAAACAACACTAATGATGATTTTAAAAAAAATCAGGCTAATCTTTTGCTAAATAAAACTATTTCCTTCAAAGCTTTCCAGTTTTGTGGACTCCTGTTATACATTTAAATCTAAAAATTAAAAATGGTGAAACCAGTTGTATGCAAGTTTCAGATTTAATAGGAAGGAAGAATTGCCATTTTTCTCACAGCAGTGCATGTACACAGACATCCTAATTACTCCAGCTGTGTCCCTTGGGACAGTGTGTTCATTTACTTGCTAGAGATAAGTAGCTTCATATGCTAATCATTATCCTAGATCATGAACGTGATCAGCCCAGGTTCCTTGGTTACTAATTCAGGGGCCATAATCATTTAGTAGAGAGGGATTTAAATGGAGCTTGCAAATGCACTGATCAAAACCCTAGGAGAACAGCCCTAACTCAAGCAGAAACCATTAATTTTTCTATGACAGAAAATAAATAATTTTCAAGCTACTATGCAACAACAGTATAGCAAACAATCCCCTTATTTGAGGAAAAGGGGTCAGAGTGAGTTTTCCAAATAGCTTAAGAAAATAGAAAGGGGTGATGAGCCAGTGCACATTATAAGCATACCTGGAAATATAAGGAGAGTCTGGAATGCAATAAGACATTGATTTTTTTTTTCCCCTTGGCTGCTCAAATGAGAAATAATTCTCTTTTATACAAAAATCAGAAGCTGCTATCTCCCTTTCCAGACCGAAAGGCACACACACCATCTGATCCTGCTGAAGTGGACAGGACCAAAAAAAGTGTTGATGTGTTTTTTCTGTTCCTAGCAGAGCTACAAGTCAAACATGGAAGAACAATGATACACGTTCACTTGGGAAAGCAAATTATTTTAAAGGAAAGATTAAGAAAACATGTTCCTAATTAGATGTTCTCAGATTTTAACACAGTTAAAATTTCAGAGTTTTAAAAAAGTGTATTGTTAAATGAATTTCAGTGAATCTAGAACTGCGAAACAGAATTGATGCATTTCATGAGACTCTCTCTCTACATCTTTTTGCCACTCTGTATATATAAAATGTTCAAGATGCCTTTTACATTTTAAAAAGTAGTTTTTAAAATAGTACTTCTACCCAAGTAAACTAAGCTGCATGTTTACAGTTGAGGTCCCTCCCTTCATTCAAGTATGAAACTTCTGTCTCTTGTGCTTTGAGTTTTAAAATGTACACACACAAGATCACTGAAGACTCTCTCAAATCACCTAAAATGCATTCTTGGCACTTCAGTGCTCTCTGCGGATGATTTTCTTTTTTTTCTTGCAGTGACCGTCTAACTTGGCAGAAGGCGGCACAGCATGCTTAGCTGCTGGTTTTAACATTCAGATATTCTTCATAAGCTCTATGGAATAGTTTGCTCTGTTAGTTCCTTAATAAATCCTCTTTCTGTTGTTTAAAATAGCAGAAAAATCTGTGGGCAGGAGAGGAGGCAATTTTTTTTATGACAACTTAAATTTTTATTTAACTATATTAAATAATGCAGGTCACAAATTCTCTCTATCTTGGGCAACAATGTAAAAGTATCTTGAGAAATAATAGATACAAAAGTTTTAATGAAAATGTCTTTTTATTTTGGACACTTATTTTAAAAGAATAAGTCACAATATGGAGTTATTCCAAACATTTATTTCTACCCAGAAATTCTTTCACTTTGAAAGTCATGCGTGAGACTCTAGTATCCTTTTATTTTGAATATTTCCTCTTTCTAGCTAAAGATCAATCTACTTTGAAGAAAGACCTGAATTAAAGCTTCAAAAAGCCTTGACCAAAAACAAAACAAAACAAACCTTACAAAAATCCCAACACAAAATATCCTCTGCTGTTATTCTATAAGTTCTACTTACAAGCTTACTTAGTTTTTTTTATCTACCTTTAAAGAGGAAGCAAGAATTATGGTAAGTTTTCCACTAAACAGAACTAACAGCAAACAAAAATTAATGCTAGCACCTCAAGAATCAGCATCTTACCTGCCAATGGGTAATGCATTGCGAATAATCCTCTGACTGCCTCTTGTGTATTCAATGTCCACTGTTATTGGGGCAGAGTAGGTCATATCTCTCAGGCGACACTTAAAAGATGAAGAGCCGTATAATTAGATGCGTCTTACCCTTACTTGCAAATGGAGATTCTGCAATCAATTCCACATTCAAAATGCAGGGTTTTGGCTCTTCTCTATACAAAATATTTTGACTTCAAAGATCACCCTGCCATAGAGGTCTCTGCCACAGCTACTGCACTGGCCTTACCATGAGGGTTTCTCAGTTCTTTAGATCTCCATATGCAAGTTCCTTAGATCAATCAGTCTGGCATTAGGAAATACGCAAATGCCTATAGAATTTACTTGCATTCATAGACAACTTCAAAACTTCAAATGGCATCTTTCTAGCAACAGGTTACTTAACTCTGAGTCTCAAAGGCACCAGGCCTTGCAATGGACCCAGATGTCAACTATGTCCCTGCATCAACACAGACCACATCACACTGGACCAAACAACACAGATTGTTACATCTGAGGTTCATTCATGTGCCCATTTACCAATGTCATATATGCCATCACCTGCTCACAGTGCTCCTCCGCTGTTTCCATTGGAAAGACACGGTGATCCTTACATGACAGAACGAATGGACACTTATCTGACATCAAGTCTAGAAGTACATAAAAACCTGTGGCAAAACACTTCAACATCTCTGTACATTCCCCTTCTGACCTCAAAATAGCTGTTCTTAAACAATGGAATTTTAAAAATGGGCCTGAACAGGAAGTTATGGAACAAGAAATCATCCACAGAATGAATTGTGTTAAGTATGGTCTCTGAGACTACATATTCTTATCCCATTATCTGGATTAGCTTTAATGTCTCTATGGGTTTATTGCTTTGCTGCTCTCTCCAACCCCCTCTCCCTCTGTTAGCAATGCCCTTCCCTGAGTTTCACATTTACTTTTGTTTGATAGCCTGCTCTCTGCATGTCTTTCATAGCATTATAAAGTGAGCTGCTACTCGCAAAAGCTTATGCATCTACGATTCAGTTAGTCTATAAAGGTGTGTCTCTACCCCACCTTCAAAGTTACTGATTAAAAGGTAATTTATAACTTCAATCCTCAGCATGTTCTTTTAACTGAGGAAAGTGATTCTTAGGATATTTGGGTATTAGGTAAGAAGATTTAAAGATTTACAAAGATATAATAAATATACTGGATGGAAGACAGGTTTATGGTGAAAGAAAGATAGTCCTGCAGGTTGAAGACATGACCATATATGAAACATGCCTGAAGGGTTGTTACATATTACAGCTCTCTTTTGCCCCCATTCTCTCAAAACAAGTTCATCCACACCTGCAGTTCAAGGTGTGATTAGTGGAAGGTTTCTTGGCTCACCTTCAGTTCTAACTCAATCTAGCAGTTGGGAAACTACTGAAAGCAAACTAAATTTCCTAATGCTCTGTGTGAACAGTTAGGGTACTTGCTATAAAATTATCATCCTAATTTGTAAATGCATGGAGGTAAGAAATATTTCTAATAATTATTCCATGCTATGAAAGAAGTTTTTTCATCCTTACTTTATCACATTTAGAATCAAGTGAACACAGGCCTTACAGAGTAAGCCAACTCCGTGTTCTGATGCTAGTATGTGAGAGACATTTTTAAAAATGGGTGCTTAAAATTAGGCTCCAAAATTCATAGGTAGACACCTAGTAAGTGGCCTCTTCTGCCAGGATGAGGAAGGCCCAGAAATTCTCAGAATCTGTTGAAGATGCTGGACACTCAAATCTGACCATGTCAGGTCCCATACAGTAGGCTTTTTAAAAGGAAGTTGGAGGCTAATGGCACAAGTCCTGCTGTAATTTAATGGAGTCACTGAGATATTTTCAAAAACTCCTACCTTACATGGAGACACAGCAAGTTGGATTTTTGAAATATTAGTCTTCATATTTTACAACGTTTTAAAGAAGTATAGCTTTAGGTGAACAATATGTACCTCTGAAGTTATACACACAGTCTTCCTGCTCCCCCCCCACCCCCAGTCAGGAAATTCAAGGGGGTCAAATACTATCTTTGAATATGTGCAGCACTTTGCATGCCTGTATACAATGCTAAGTTACTATGACATAATATATACAGTCATTGTGGTTAAGTGAGAAAAGATGCAAAAACCAGAAGTTTTACTATTAAGTCTTGTGTTCATGAATTCTCAACCACAAGTTTCTCACATAATTCCAAACCAAAAAATACCAAGTATTTTTGTACTCTAGGATCTCTTATATGAAATCCCTGAAATCTATTAATTTACATTAAATAGGGAGGAAAGGTGGGGGTGTGGCACTCTACCTCAAAGAGCAATACTCATCCTCAGCAAACAGCACTGGGTAAGAGGAGGGGCAGACTAAAGTGCTCCGAGTCAAAAAACAAGGGGGCGAGGGGGAAAGGGACTTAACAGTGGGGTTTTACTACAGGCTACCCAACCAGGGGGAAGAGCTGGACTGGGAATTCTCAGGTCAGCTCGCGGAGGCAGTTAAGTCAAGGGACGCAGTCATCATGGGTGATCTAAACTATCTGTACGTCTGCTGGGAAGAGCAGTCAGCCACATCTGACCACTCACGTAGGTTCCTAGCCGAGTTACAGGACCTCCCTCAACTCAGGAGGTACACAGTCCCACCAGGGGAAATGCCTTGCTGGACCTGGTCCTGGCCACGGGAGATGACCTGCTGAGTGGACTGTGGGTTCTCGACCACCTGGGCAACAGTGATCATCACCCACTGGAATTCACTATCCAGCGTAGGGTGTCAAAGGCCTGCAGCAAGGCAACAGCCCTAGACTTCAGGAGGGTGGATTTCAATGAGGTAAGACGACTAGTCGGGGAGGCACTAAGGTCCCGCAGGGGAGGGGGAGTTGGGAGGCCAGGAAGAGTGGTGGTTCCTTAAGGAGACGATCCTCCAAGACCAAAGGGCGACAATCCCAACACAGATCAAAGTGGACAAGAGTGCTCAAAAGCCCCCATGGCTCACCAAAAGCATCCAGGAATGTCTGAAAGCTCAAAAGGAGGCGTACACCCAATGGAAGGGAGGGGCCATCAGCAAGGGGGACCATACCTCCATTGCTCAAGACTATAGGGGGGCTGTTAGGAAGGCTAAGGCAGAGATGGAACTGGGACTAGCAACCCAGATCAAGGATAACAAGAAGTCCTTTTTTAAATACACAGGGGGTAAAAAGAAGGTACCAGGCAATGTAGGGCCTCTGCAGGACACGCTAAGAAATCTGGTGGTTACACCAGACGACAAAGCTAACCTCTTTAACAATTCTTTTGCCTCCATTTTTTTTGAACAGGAACCAGGGCATCCCCCCCCACCGGGATCCCTGACGGGCCCAGAAGAGGCACTGCCAGGCCCAGGGTCAGCAAGGACCTAGTTAGGGAACTTCTGGTGGGTCTAGACATGTTCAAATCAGCAGGTCCTGACAATCTCCACCCCAGAGTGCTGACGGCATTAGCAGAGGTCATTGTGGGACCCCTGGCACAGCTTTATGAGCACTCATGGTGCCCTGGTGAGGTGCCAGAGGACTAGAAAAGGGCCAATGTGGTCCCCATTTTCAAAAAAAGGGAGGAAGGAGGACTCGGGAAACTACAGGCCTGTTAGTCTTACCTCGGTCCTAGGGAAGCTTTTTGAGAAAGTTATCCAGGAGCACATCTGCGAGGGACCTGCAGGGGGGATCACGCTTAGGGGCAATCAACATGGATTCATTGGAGGCAGGTCCTGTAAGACCAACCTGGTGGCCTTCTATGACCAAGTCACAAAATCCTTGGATGCAGGTGTCGCAGTGGACATAGTCTTCCTGGACTTTAGGAAGACCTTCGACACTGTCTCTCACCTCATTCTCATTAAGAAATTAGGCGACTGT